AAAACGTTTGTTTGGGCTGAGTATTAAGGCAAAATTCTTGAATAGCCAGTTGATTTAACATGTCCACGTCAAAACTAATTTGCCTTCTACTCTTTGATTTGTCTTTAATTTTATAGAATCTTAGGCTTATCAACACTCTATCACCCAAGATTCTGTGCAATTTTTCAAGCTGTTAGAATATTTTTGATCACTGTTTATATCAGAGTGTGTGAATGCATTCAGAGAGATTTTATAAAGGAGACTGTCCTTGCTTTTCTTGATTGAGTTCCTGAATTCTATCATTAGGCTCAACATTTCTGCAATTATCTGTATCTGGTTATTAACATGTTATTTCTACACTCCTCCTTCCCTTCTTCTCCCTTATACCCACATCCTCTGAATTGGAAGCTGGGGCAACTGCGATTCTGAAAGTGATCATTATTTTGGTAGCAGTTATTTCTTTTTTTTTTTTTTTTTTTTAGTTGGAGTCTCACTCTGTCGCCCAGACTGGAGTGCAGTGGCATGCTCTCGGCCACCACAGCCTCGACCTGCTGGGCGCTGGCGATCCTTCCGCCTCAGCCTTCCAAGTAGCTGAAACTACAGGTGCGCGTTACCACGCCCGGCTGATTTTTTGATTTATTGCAGAGATGAGGTCTCGCCAAGTTGCCCAGGCAGGTCTCGAACCCGCGGGCTCAGGCAATCCACTCACCTCAGCCTCCCCAAGCGAGGGATTACAGGCTGAGCCACCGAGCCTGGCTGCAGCTGGTTCTTAACAGCCTCAGTTTTGTGACGGCGGTGGCAGGATCTGATCCCATAACTGCATTGTCCTAATTATATTCCTAATGGATCACACGTCTTGGGATAAAGTGATGTGATACATTGTAGTATCTGAAGGGCAGCACTTTCAGAAACATCTCCATGTAGCATATGTAGCCAATGCACTTACTGTCATTAGTTACCCAAGAGGCCCATGTGCCTCTTTCCCTCTTTCCACTCCCTGACCCACATTTCATCCAAGCTCTGCTGTTTTTCTCCTGCGGGGTTATTTCCTGAGCAAAGCCCAGAGCTTATGAGTCCCCCAGCAGAGAGCTCTGTTTTGACCTCCCTAAACAGGCAGTTTCACCTGCTGGGCTAGTGTTTTTCTGTTTCCTAGTCAATCTGTTAAGATTTTAGCAGGAGATTCTTGGATACCTTTTCAGAAAACATATGGAAGACTGTAATTATTTTGGCCCAGTACAATTTTAGCAATGAGAGAGTAAGGAAGAGGTGCAAATCTACTGGTCATAAATAACCAAGTCTGTGGGCATTTTAAAAAGCATTCTGTGCAGCGAGAGAATTGACGTGCCACATTTCACCCCTTGGCACACTTTCCAAATGAATTGTTCAAAGAGAAGCTATATTAGGACAAATAGAAATGACGACCACGACCAGATGTGGATTTTTAGTTAATATTTATGCAACACCCAAGGGGAAGATAGTATTGCACAATAAACTAAAAACGTCTCAGGCAAATAAGGAAATCTTTACCCCAAGGAACTGGCACTGCAAAGGTATGAATTATACAACAAAGGCCTGGGAATGCAGAACAAACGCAGGGTAGGTCGGGGTGACTATAAAAAGGAATTCATTGAGGAAGTGGTGAGGTAGCAGATGTGTGGAACTTACTTCGGGAAAATAAGGGCTTAGCACATTTTTGGCCAGTATTGTGTCTAAGGTGGAAAACTCAAGCCAAACAACCTAATTTTCTTCATCTGTGGAGGGCAACGGTAGCTTTAAATAGCACACATATATTCAGAACTGAGGAGGTAGCCTCACATTGAATAAGTATACCTTAATACACTAGAACGCTATGTCCTCCGATTTTAAGTGATTTCCAAGGAGAGTGATGACATCTTTAATCTGATTCCCCCCCCAAAGTTGTTTGAGGAAGGTAGAAAATGCAGGAATTGGCTGCTTCTCAGCTCTTGGAGAGCAATCTGAAAGAGATCATGGCTTAATGCACTGGAAGGATATTGAGACCCAAGTTCAATTCTAATAGATAAATTTGTTAAAAGCAACTGAATTTCTCAAACACAGCTGGATTTTCAGCCTTTGCTTTACCAGGAAAGGCAAGATGTGCCTCTTTACAGCACATCTCCCTGTCTCCTAACCTTCCAATACAGAGGAGTTGGGGCGTGGGAGAGGACAAAAGGAAGAGATGGAGGATTGTAGAAATATTTATTTAAAACTATTACTTTGAAAATGGAGACAGCTCTGGAAAAGACTTAAAAGCTTTTAGCACGTTGAACTCCAAACCTCTCTCATATTTTTATGCCTCCGGGTCCTCTTAATTATTGAAGAGAGCTATCCATGTACCACAGGCCTTCCTGTGGAGTTGATGCACTTTCAAGAATTTTGAACCTAAGATCTCCTTCTCTTCTTGGTTACTTCTTCACCATCTGTAGCATTGACAACAAGTCAGTTTCTTCCCTCATGATAAACATTTGTGAATTTTCAGTTGTTATATAGTTTCTCCTAAGCACATTTATTTGTTCACTTGTCAGCTTTTTTTTAAAGTTTATTTTACATGTCCAGATGTTACAGATTCTGGGTAATATGTGGAAAATAAGACTGACAGCATCCCTGCCCTCATGGAGTTTGCATTCAGTGGTGATTATGGATACTAGTACATACTAGGAAGAAACTAATACAATGTAATGGGATAGAGATTGATGGGGCAGAAGCTACTTTATTTCTGAAGTGATGGACCTGAGCTAAGACCTGGATGGTGAGAAAGGGCTGGAGAAGGTCCAGGGAGAAAGCAATCCATGCAGCAGAAGAAAAAGTGGGGAGTTCCTGAGAAGAAGGATGTATGGGTTGTGCATATATGAGCACAGTGTGAAGGGTAGAGGGAGAGGGCCAAATAAAATCCTGGCTGGCCATGGTAAGACTCAGAATTTTATTTGTTGTACAACAGGATGTCACTGAACATGTTAAAAGTAGGGAATGTGCAAGTTTTAGTTAATAAGTAAAAGTGGAAGTTGGAGAGCATAAAATAATAGCTAACACTTCGTGCTTTTCAGGACCTGTCTAGGTGCTATACACATGTTAACTACTTTAATGCTTTAATAAGATGAGAAAAGTGAGACATGAAGAGGTCGAGTGACCGGCCAAAGGTTGCCCGAATAATAAGTAGCAGAGTGTGGACTCAAATTCAGGCATCTGATTGAAGGATGTAAGATGGAGTCAATATAACCAATGAGCAGCCATTTTAACACTGCCTGGTTCTGTTTTTCTAGCAGTTCACTTAAACTTGCCCTCTAATCACTAATCAAGGACAGAACTGGTTTCTCAGAGGTAGCTCCTGATAATTGTTTTACAACCCCCTCCCCAGTGTTTTGTAAACACGTTAACCTAATCAGCCCTTCATGACTTTCTTGATACAGACCCTACCATCCTGTGTTTACCTGTCCCCTTCATGATGATGTGAAATAGACCACCACACAATCACCTTAACGACCTGCCCCACACTAAAGGGAAGGATTAAAAGCATTCAACTTCAAGCAGTCATTTGCCATTATTTTGTCAAGCATTGGCCAGGCCATATGTTTTTTGAGCTATGACCTGCCATATTCTCTTTGGCTCCCTCCCCTACCTCGCGGAGGTGAATCTCTCCTCTCTCTCTCTTAGTTACTTTCGAAATAAACTACATTTTCCAATCTAATGTCTGCAATTCTTTGCATTTTTCACGTGGCACCGGATCACAAACCAGTTACTCCCCATGGGGTCTGACCTAACATTTTGGAGGCACCGCTGGAATTTTTACACTGATTCTACAGTATATTCACCACTGCACCTGTGTCTGTACGAACTGCACAGATCTCCTTGTGAAATCAGGAAAAGATGTAGTTTTGTTTTGCAGCAGCTCAAACCATGACATTTGCTTTCAGGTCGCTGCCAAACTTCCTGGGGCTCAACTTCTTGCCGGTTTGGAGAGCCGGCTGGTTTTAGGCGCTGCTCTCGGTGTCTTCTACGCCTTGTGGTGACTGTGCAGCAGGGGGCGCTGCAGCCGTGTTCATCGCGGTCAAGGGAGCCACTCGCCCAGCCGGAGAGGGGACCAGCCAGGAGGAGGTGTGGCGGGCAGCCTCGGTCCTCTTCGGTCTTGCAACTTTAGTACCCAGAACTTGTTCTGTACGGCCCTTCTTCGACACCATATTTCAACACTTTGGAGGCCTTCCAGCCAGTCCCGCATCCGGGAGGAGAGGGCATTCGCTTCCCGCCTTCCCAGGATTAAGGAAAATGCCCCCCCCCCCCCCAGAAACCACTAAAAGCCTCCCTGGGTAGTGGCTGTGTGTGTGTGTCTTTCCTCTTTTTGGATGCTCTCGTTTTAACCTTACTGAAGGAACATTTATCTCCCTTCTCGTCAGTGGGGCCAACCGTAGGCTAAGAGCTGAAATCTCTCCTTCCTAAGATGCCCCCTTCTCCCATTTCGGCTCACGCCCCCCGTGCGCGTGTGAGATCTCCAGTCGGCTTGTGGCAAACAGTCGCCAAACCTGTCCTTCCTCTCCCGGCAGTCAGAAGCCTCTCCCGCTGACCAGACTCACGCCTGGCCGCTCCTGGCACGCAAAGCGCGGGTCTGAGACCGGCGGTGCCAGGCGCCGCCCGGCCGCCGCGGGAGCGAGCGACCCCCTCCTCCTCGCCTCGGTCTGCAGCTTCCCCTCCCGGGGCGCACGCTAGCGGCTCCTTCGGGCTGCCTTCCAGCGGTCGCCCTTGGGTCCCGGGCTTTCCAGCGTGAAATCGAAGGTGAAAGACACAAGGGGAGGGCGGGAGGCGGGTAGGAGGAGCCTCCAGCCCGGGGAGG